AGGAAGTGGGGTTGAGAGAAGAGAAGAGCCAAGAACAACCAGGGACCACTGAAGTCTTCTGGAGTCATGAAGAGATGTCACCCAAAAGGGAGGGGGCAGCCAGTGAAGAAAAGAGGCAAGGCTGTGGAGATGGGAGACACTGGGGCTTCCTTCCTAGTGGTAGATGCTTAGTCCCATTGCTTCTGGAGCATATCCATGGCGCCAGATGCTCAGCTAAAACCCTTCCCAGGACCCTCAACACAACCCCAGTACGGGGTCAGTTGGTAAGTGCCGTTACCCAAGATGAGGAAGGAAGGAGCTCTGTGGGCCCATCCTCCCTCAGATATGCCCACACGGTGGCTAAGCCACCACCCTCCTCAGGGAGTGGCTCGTTGGTCACTCCCACCTTTGAAGATAACTGTCATCACCATGCATGCCAAGCTCCATTCCCCATCAGTGGCTCAGAAGTGGTGGTGGTCCAGGTCTTATGACTGGCACTGGAAGAGGGGGACCCCCTGTGAGTCACTGAGCCTTGAAGTCTACAGAATCTGATTTCAGTCCCAGGTAACTAAAGTTGGGGCCAAACTAAATGATTAGGTGCCTAGTATCTAGGGAATGAGAGGACCGGATGATGGCATTAGGATAGAAAATCCATTTTGTGACTTTATATGTAAAAAGAAAACTGAGTTATATTTTCCCCAAAAGTGTCCTATGTAGTTGAAGTAAGTATTGTGTTGCTGAACTTGTGTGTGCATGTGTGTGTGTGTGTGTGTGTGTGTGTGTGTGTGTGTGTGTTTTGCTTTGTGTTTCTTACATAGGTAAAAGGCTTTATCTAGAACTGGGGCTTTTAGAGAAGAGATAGGTACCCAGGGGCGTACTAGCTGGCCCTCAAAAGTGAGAGGGGATTGTTAAAACATCCACCCTGAAAATCCCACTTTCAAAATCTTTATTTCTCTGGTGCCTTTTACGGGGCTTTATAGTTCGTAAGGAAATAGATATGAACGTGTACATACAGAGCATCTGTAAGTTTGGTTAATTCACTGTTTGATAGCCTTTGCTTTGCGGGAAGGTCTACGACTCCCACCCACATGATCCCCACCCAAGCCTGTGCTCATTAAAATTTACTTGTGAGCTATTTAGAAATGCAGGTTTCATTAGTAGGGCACTTATCTAATATCTTGAGGCCTTGAGTCAATCTCCTATATACTCCATGTATATGCCTGCTGATGTCGGCTCTCCTAAGCCCAGTGATGTTAACCTTCGGTTTGGACAGAGGAGCCTGCACTTTTGGCCTCTTCCCAGGGGTTCTGATCAGGGAAGTCTGCAGAGTACAGCAGACACTAAAACCATGGTAGAGTCCCTCTGAAGTATCCAGTGTGTCTTTGGTTGGCTGTGGGTAGGTTTATGGATAGATGCCCACTGACCTAGCACCTCATCTGAGGCTATCCTGTCATTACCCCAAAGCCCAGGGACTTCACAGTTTGGGTGTGACTAAACCTGTTTTGGGGCTGCCTGCCTTCCCCACCTTCACATGATGCTAAGACTTCTTTAGTTGGCAAACCACAAACTGGACAATTTGCATGTTATTGTCACTGATAGAGGCCACCACTAAGTCCACGAAAGTGGGCTGCTTGGTTGTACTCAGGACCGGAAGGCATAAAGTGCCATAATCTGGGGACCATTTCTGTGAAGGTGTGAATGGGTATAAGCTTGGGAAAAGAGTAGCAGATGCTGATCTTGAAGTATTATATCCTGTGGTCTATCAGGCTCACTAGGAATCTACCCAAAAGGAATACTAGTCAAGGGCAGAATCACCAGGACCTAAAATTCTTCTTAGCAGTATTGTTTGAGTTCGTGGCAGTAATGAAAACAGGTTTTTGGTTGGTTGGTTGGTTGGTTGGTTGGTTGGTTGGTTGGTTGGTTGGTTGGGGTTTTTTGTTGTTGTTGTTGTTTTGTTTTTGTTTTTGTTTTACTAAAAGGCAGTCCAATCTAGAAATGGAAGAATCTGACCTTAGACCCAATCAGCATTCAAGTTCATACACTGGCATTTGCTTTTGAAAATAGTTGTGTGTGTGTATACACACACATGCACGCATACAGAGAAGATGAGGGAAGTAAGTCACACACTAGAATCTTGACAGTGGGACCCTGAAGAAGGACAGGGTCATCTTATTTTAAACACTTGGGTAATGTTTAATTCTTATAGCAAATATGTCTTTGCTTCTAATTTATGAAACAAAAACAGACCGTAGGGCTGAACTGCATGTAACTCAATGGTAGATTATGTGCCTACCACACGCAAGACCCTATGTTCCATTCCCACCCCTTACCTTAATCCCTACCCCTTACCTCACAGTCTAACATCTTTATTATATCTATCTATCTATCTATCTATCTATCTATCTATCTATCTATCTATCTATCATCTATCTATCTATCTATCATATATCTATCTATCAATCTATCTATCTGTCATATATCTATCAATCTATCTATCTATCAATCTATCTATCAATCTATCTATCATATATCTATCTATCTATCAATCTATCATATATCTATCTATCTATCAATCTATCTATCATCTATCTATCTATCTATCTATCTATCTATCTGTCAATCTATCATATATCTATCTATCTATCTATCAATCTATCTATCATATATCTATCTATCTATCAATCTATCTATCTGTCAATCTATCATATATCTATCTATCTATCAATCTATCTATCATATATCTATCTATCTATCAATCTATCTATCATATATCTATCTATCTATCTATCATCTATCATCTGTCTACCTATCTGGGTGCACATGCCATGGTACAAGTATGGAGGTCAGAGGACAGTTTTGGAATTTGATTCTCTTCTTCCACCATGTGGATCCCCAGGGATCTAATTTATCATCCTTGGCTGCAAGCACCTTTACCCACTGAGCTGTCTTACCAGCCATCCAAAGTCTAGAATTTAAAAAAAAAAATGAAGACAACACTAGTGTCAGTGTCCCAGGCAAGTTATGAGGTCTGGGTAGGAAACCAGAAGCTAAATAAATAAATAAATAGCAAATAAACAACAAGTGATTTGTGGTACTAGATAAAGGTATGCTTTTTCGCTGAGTGGTCTGGTCTTGGGCAATTATCTCAGCCTCTCTGACCCCCCTGCCCCCGTTACTGATTGTAAAGCTACCCATGTGGTTGCTGTGCTCTAACAGTGCAATAGTGATGTTGTATGATGTTGTATGATGTTGCTCGGCTAGCTGCCCCATCCTGTGTGATGCCCTAGATGGAAGGAGTGACCCTCCAGGGGGAGGAGTAGGGAACTGGGTGGTGAAACCATTGACCACCAAGTCTGGAAGGCAGAGGAGGCCTATGGTGTGACTTTGAAGGGTGCGTGTAATCTAAGCAGATACAAGTAGAGGGGACCGGCGTCTAGGAATAGGGTGCTTTCACTATGAGGAAGTGAATATATTGAGGCACAGGCAAGGGGTGGGAACGTTTAAAGAGCTTGCTGGAGAGGTGGAGCAGCCCAGGCTGTCTCCTGTGTGCTGGGGTTTGAGGCTAGGTCCACATAAGCATCCTAAGAAAGACAATGAAGTGACTGTGTTAGATTACTCAACATGAGAATGGAGAGACCTCTGCTGGTCACTGTGATAGACATTTTTCTGGGGACAGGAACCATCTAAAACTACACCAACAAACTAGAGAGTCAGCCAGGTAAACTGAGGTAATGGCAGATGAATTTTGTCAGCCGTTGAAACAGGAGGTTCGGGTAAGGGTAGTGAGGAGGGGAGTAGGACCCTGAGGACCTATCCAGAATGTTCCGAGTCAGACTTGTGTAGAGGGATGGACAGTTGACATCACAAGCCACTAGCAGAATCACCTAGCAGAGAGCCTCAGGCAGGTGTAGGGTGGTCTGAGCCCCTGCCATGAGGATCCCCCGTCAGCCCCATCACAACCATTGATGCTGTTCTTTCTTCAGCTCAGTGTCCCACTGTAAACAGATCTGTTAGTCACCATGGTATTTATGGTGCAGTACAGGGTTTCCAAGACCTAAGACATTGTCCTACCCCTGCCAGGAATTGGAAGTCCCCAACTGAGGGTTCCAAGGAAAGGAGAGACAGAAAGGAGGCAGTGATGGACCTGGGTCGAGGGAGATAGCTCTCCAGGCCAACAGGGGAGGCGCCCAGTGAATGACAAGTGGATGGATGAGATTTCTTTGCTTGGGATTGGGTTGGAAAGGAGGTGGGCAGGGCATGTAGGGGGCAGTGGTGGAGCAGGCTGTTAATCTTGATATGAGTCTGTTTTTGAACTCTGCCATTCTGTGCCCTTGGTCCTCTGGTCAATTTCTGCCGTCATGGAGGGAAAACAGGCCAACATGGAGAGAGGAGGAGAGAGAGAAAAGGCTGGAAGATGCTAGGCAGGCCCTGCATGCCTGGATAAAGCATGGAATCAGGACTAGCCATCCTGGCTGCAGAGGCAGTCTCTGGGCTGGAGTCTGGAGGATCAGGATCTAGCACCATCTACCCACAGCCCATTGCGGCACCTGAGAAAAACCCTTTCTCCCTTTGGGCCTCAGTTTCCCTCTGTCTGAATGGCTGCTGGAGATACCTGTATGGACTCTCAACAATGTCCCTGCAGATGGCAGATGGTGCAGGCTATATGCTCATCAGGGCACCCCCTCTGTGCTTGCCTGTCTACCTCCATGTGGAAGGCCAGGGTCAGAGGTCACTAAATACACATAAAGGAAGAGTGGACCTGGCAGGGAAGAAGAAGCAAGGGGAGTCTCCATGCTCCCAGGGCCCTTTCCAGGTCTCTGAAACTGACCCGAGATCTGGATCTTGCTGGTAGCTCCCTCAACTGCAGCCCCATCCCTTAACCCTAGGGAAATGTCCAGGTTACATGAAAGCCCTAGCAGTCACAGGATGTGAGACGGGGATCTCTCTGGATGTCTGGGTGCTGGAGAATGAGAACTCTGACCCCTCTAGTACCTGACCTACACAGCCTTCCTGTCTTCACAGAGACTTACTACCTTTCACGTTGCGGCTGCCCCAGGCCATCCTTGAAGCCAGCAGCTTCCTGGACCTTGAGACCATCTCCAACCTGGGCCTGGGTGAGTGTTCCCTGTAGAACCAGAGTGGGTGGGTACTGAGGTGAGGGGGTACTAGGATTTCCCCTCTTGCATTAATCAGAGTTCTCTAGATGAACAGAACTGTCTTAGTCAGTGTCCTATGTCTGTGGAGTCATCATGACCATGGCAACTCTTATAGAGGAAAACATTTAACTTTTAATTGGGGCCAGCTTACAATTCAGAGGTTTAGTTCATTATTATCATGGCAGGGAGTGTGGCCTCATGCAGGCATGACTTGAGCTTCTGAAACCTCAAAGGCCACCCCTGGTGGCACACTTCCTCCAATAAGACCACACCTACTCCAGCAAGGCCACACCTCCTTAATTCCTGTCAAGTAGTGCCACTCCCTAATGACCAAGTGTTCAAATCTCTGAACCTATGGAGGGGGCCATTCCTATTCTAACCACTACAAGAACTAACAGAGTGAATATTCTATAGCTTCCATTGAAACAGTAACAACAGTCTCACACACGAGAGGCTGATAGTTGCTTGGTTTTGGAGGCCCAATGCCTTGGCAGTCTGTGTGGTCTACAGTGGCTGCTTCACACTGAAGAAGTCAAGAACCCAATAGTTGCTCAACACACAAGGCTGCATGCGGCAGCAGTCTCGGCTGTCACCGAGGACCTAGAGGGTTCCTGGAGCGTCACTGGTCCCCTCAACACTGGCAGCCTAGAGACCCTGCTTCTGATAACTGCCCAGGAACCAGCAATTGCAACAGGGGAAAACAACTCGGCAGCCAGGGGGAAGGCCAGGCAAGCAAAGATGAATAATCCTCCGTCTGCCATGCCCTGCTTTATCTGGGTGCTACCAGAAGGTGCCACCCACATTTGGGATGGATCGTCCCACACCAATTAAGGCATCCCTTGGTGAGGCTTCCTCCTCAGGTGACTCTGATTTGTGGCAAGTTGACATTAAAACCAGCCATCATACCAATGGTCTCTGCAGAAATGTCCTTGGGTGACACCAGGCTAGAAGCTGAACTTTAGTTTGGGAGCCCACAACTCATGCTCCACAACTCATGCTGAGCCACTGAATAGGAAGATCCTCAGGGCCCCTGCATTGCCAGGGACCATAACCAGGCTGATCACATCAGAGGTGGCCCTGAGAAAGGCAAGGCCAACACCAAGGCAGTTCTGCAGGCTGGCCAACATCAGCCCTGCTTCTCCTGTCACAGCCCGTATCAATCATTAATTAAGAACATGCTCCAGACTTGCTTGCCTACAGCCTGATCTTATGGAGGCATTTTCTTAATCGAGGCTCTCTCTTCTCTCTGATGAGTCTAGCTTGTGTCAAGTTGATAATAAAACTAGCCAAGTCAGATGTGATGGGGATCTAGAGTGTACACCTCATGTCCTTGACCTTCTCCCTGCCCAACCAACTAACCCTAAGGTGGAGTTATGAGCATCTCCAACTTCCATTCTTTTGCATAAAAGAATGTATTAGTGGCCCAGACTTCCTGGACTCTTCCTGGGTGTCTAGCCATACTGAGATCTCTGCAGGCATAGGTTTGGTTTAATCGGTGCTGACGTAGGGCTGGGCCTCATCAATGCTGGCTCTGAAGAAGCCAAGATCTCCAGGCTGGTAGCTGCTGGAACACTAAACCTACATATGTTGGGGACAGAAATTCTTCTACTTCCATGTGGTATAGAGGTAGCGTGTTTAAGGCAGATGTTTCAACAGCCTCTGTGGCCAGTAGTGGGGCAGAGGCCCAGGACTTCAGCGCCCAGAGCCAGGGCATGTCTGTAGACAAAACATCTTTATTAAGACTCAGCTGCTCACAGGACACTGTCTGCAACTGACTCCCAGAACCAGAAACACCAGCATGATAGTTCCAGTGTTGACTGAACAGAGGAAAATTAGCCCAGACTGAAGAGTCAAGTCACAGAGGAAGCAGACCAGAGAAGACATCCCCCACCTCAGCTCCAAGGCCAGGCTCTAGCCTTCTCCCCAAGGAGTCTGGGGACAGCAGTGTGAAAGAAGAGCTCAAACCCTTTCCACACTGCCCCTTAATGGAATCTGCTGTACTGGTCCACCGAGTAACTGGGGTGAGCACTGAACTTCACATATACTCATCGGTCCTGTTCTGTGACTCAGGTACGAATCCCTGGGGCTGATATCCAAGACTCCCTGTAGGTTTCTCCTGCTGGAACAGCCTGGGAGCACTTGCTGGATGGAAACAAGCCACTCAATTTAGGAGAACCAAATTCCTGACTGGAACAGAGTGGCCTCGGGCATGAAGTAAGCTAGAAATGGAAGTCATCATGCAGGGAACGGAGGGTGGTGCAGACTGGCCTGCCAGCAATGACTTCTTGGGGAATGGGGCATTAAAAGCCAAGTGTGCTACACCTAAGGAACCACCTGGAAGGCTCTGATCTGATGAGGTATCCCAGGTGCTGAAGACAGAGTCAGACTCAGCAGATTGGCGTTTCCCCAGAGCCAGGGAAAGGTTGGCTTTCCAGTCCATCTCCGGAACAGATGGAGACCTGAAACCGTCAGACGCCTGGCCCTGGCACGTGCAAGCTGCAGCCATGCCAGGCTTTGTGTGCTCCGATGATAATTGCAGAGAGCATCTGCCAAGGGCCCAGGCACCTAAGGCATTGTGCTGAGCCATTGCGTCACTCCTCTGCCGAGCATGTCCAACCTTCTGACATTGCAACAGGAGGCTGTCACCTGCAGACATCACACAAAAGAACATGCAATCAAGTTACAAAAAGAAAAAAAAAAACTCATAATGTTTTAAGTAACTTTATAGTTTTGTGTTGGGCTGCATTCATACTTATCCTGGGACTCATGCAGACTGCTGGCCAAGGACTGGACACACTTGTTGAAGGAGAAACCTGCAACCTACTCAAACTTGTATGGAGAATTCCTGAGAAGTGGAGTCCAGGGCCATTGGGTTTTGTGAGCAACAGCCTCTGCTCTGTACCACAGCCTGTTGTACCCTGCAGCCTGCTCAGTCAGAGCCCTGTTCCTTAGCCCACCAGCCTTCCAGGCTCTGCCTCCAGCCCCATCCCCACTAGTTACTGTTCCTCAAGAGAATCTCCAGGGAGAATTGGGATAATCATTACCCAGCTGTGGGGGAGGGGCTTGAGGACAAGTGTTCTCTTGATCTAGTCAGAAGCATGATGGGAGGCAAATTCACCAGCTTAGGTGCATACATTCATTATTAGATTTTACACACACACTTAGCGTTAATCTAATTAATCTTATCAATAAAAACCGGGAATCGGATATTGGAGGTAAGAACCTGAAAGGTCAGGAAACAGGCAGCAGCCACAGCCACTTCCTACCTCCTACCATTCCTCCACCAGAATGGGGCTGAGAGGGGCTCTCAGCCCTATCTTACTACTTCCTGTCTCCTCTCTGTCTACAGTCCTCCAAATCTCTATGATCAACTAGTGGCTAGCTCCACCCTCTGACTCTAAGTAAGCTTTATTTGTCAGCACACAATCAAAATACCACACAACACACATCACACACACACACACACACACACACACACACACACACACTCATACACACACACCAGTGTCTAAAGAGCTTCTTCATCGATAAGCAGAAATGAAGCACTGGCTCATGGTACCACATGAATTGAAACATGATGTTTAATGAAAGAAGCCAGACTCAGAAGTACATGTGAAACTCCCTTGTAAATGTGCTCAGCCGAGGCAAATCCACAGATGTGGAAGGCAGGCTAGTGGTGACCAGGTTATGTTGTTGTGGCAGTCAAATCCGCTGGGAAAGACCAAAGACTTAGACTCAATTCAAATTTAGATTAAATGAATTTATTCTTACTGCTAGCAGAAGGACGTAGAGCCAAACATCATGCCATGCCCAAGGGGGCTAAAGGAAGGGATTAAAGAGGTGCACAGCGAAGATGTTATCAAAGGTGTACAGTGACCTATGGGCTCCACGGCTGGACAAGAAAATTGCTTTACTCTTCTCAGTTGTTTCTCTTTCCCCTTGTATAGTAATAAAAAGACCACTTTATGCCAGTCCCATGGAGATAAGTGAGTTTACAAAAGCAGAAAGTGAGTGGTTAAATACCTCACAGTAGAAACACCATTATCCTATTCTTAGCTCACCTGCTGGCCACTAGGATCTCACATGCCTTCCAGGGCAAAGGTCAGCAGCCCGTAGGGATCTTTCGCCATCTCAGAGGAATTATGTGTAAATTATTACGCAGGTCTGAGCACTCTGGGGGAAGTGTCACTAATTACCTGGGATAGAGCAGCCAGGGACATAGCACCATCAGGTTAGAGCTGGCTGTCACATTGCCAGACCCAGCAGAAGCAACTTAGAGAAAGAGAAGCATGTTTGGGCTCATAATTTGAGAGGATACTGTACGTGGACTTTTCCTGCCAGCCAGTTCCCAAATAACTACACAGAGACGTATTATTAATCATAAATGCTCAACTGATAGCTTAGATCTGTTACTAACTAGCTCTTACATTCTAAATTAACCCATTTCTATTATTTTACTTGCTACCATGTGGCTCATGACTTGTTATCTCATTTTGTACGTGTCCTGCTTCCTCTGTCTCTGGCTGGCAACTCCCAAGATTCCACCCTTCTTCCTCCCACTATCCTCCTAGGATTGGCTCTTCTGCCCAGCTCTAGGCCAGTCAGATCTTTATTAACCAGTGAGAATAATACATATCTACAGTGTACAGAGAATGTTCCACAGCAGGATTCAATCCATGGCAAGAGTTTATGTCAATGGGATGTGTGTCTGGGACATCTCACATCTCCACCAGGAAGCAAGAGGAGGCTAGAAATGGGACCAAGTTATAAAACTACAGGCCCACCTGCCAGTGGCCCACTTCCTCCACCCAGGATCACTGCTGGGATCCAATGCTGAAACACCTGCCCCTCCAGGGAATATTTCACTTTTAATCCACTGGATGGGGAGTGACTGACAGTGGGCATGACTAAAACACCGTAGCAGTTATTATGACAGTTATGTAACTATGGATATATTAAAGCCGTCAGGGAAGTTTTGAATAGGTGAATTATGGGGATGATATTCCTGTTGAGATGACAGAGGGATGTGGACCGTAAGGCTTCCTGTAAGAGGATGTGATAGGAGCTGGATTCGCACCAGGGGCTTTCTCTGTGTCTTCAGCTGTAGCCATTGCCATCACATCCTCTCAGCCTGTGCTCTGCCCCCTGCTCTTCAGCTCCCTCCTCCCCCTGCTCTGGCCCCAGTGGAAAATAGCATGGTGCCCTTTAGCCAAGGGAAGGGGCTGGGTTTGATGTTGAGCCGGGGAGAGCAGCGAGCCCTCCCTCTGCATCGTACCCTCCGAGCACTTCTTTTTTAAGACATCTTTTTCTTGTTATGAAATCCCAGCATGTTGTGGGTTTCTTTTTAACTGACAAGACCAGAAAAAGACAAGGCTGAAAATCATACATGATCCCTCCCCTGCAGCAAAAATACAGTTCCTCTTCTTGCCTCTCGCCGGTGTTTTGTGTGAACATATGTGTGACTTTTAGTTGTTTTGCTCACACCCGGAGTCAAGAAATGTCTAGTCAACGGTAGACTCACTGGGTTTTCAGTGGACCCAATGGTCTCACAATCATTCTTAGTTTTTGAAACATGTTTCCTTTCTCCATGTCACTGAGTGTATTTTATTGTACTTGGTTTGGTTTGGTTTTAATGTCCAAATAAACTAAGCTATTTGGACAGGAATGATGTCACCAAAGCAGAGCTAATCTCCTGCAGGCTCAGCACCATGGGATGGCTCTTGAGTGTTTGTTTATGAGCTGACACAAGAAAAGCCAAGTTTAGACTTGGAAACACCACCATTCAACAGTGCGGGCTCTGTAGACTGTCATCCTGGGTGCAGTAGGGGCCACAAAACTAATGTGAGACTGAGCTGCTTGCAACTAATTCTAAATGCAAGAGGGAAGATGATTCTGTGTGGATGGCTCTCCAACATGCCTGAGGCATGTAGCTACTAGTGGTTTAAAGACAGGAAAGTCACATACTGTGTGGCTCTTCCAAGTGTGTGTGTGCCTTGTTTTTTTCCTTTATAGCATAGAGTGAGACTATTTCCTAGTTAATAAAGATTTGTTAAAAGTTTGCGATCGGGGGACTGGGGAGACAACTCCATCGATAAGCTCAGTCACTAAAGCACTTGCCGTGTAAGCATGAGGACCTGAGTTGAGCTCTAAAATCCACATTTAAAAAAATGGGCGTGGCGGCTTGACTTGTAATCTCACCACTGAGGAGATGAAAGCAGGTAGGGTCCTGGCTAGCCAGACTAGCTCATTGGTTCCAGGCCCTCCAACTGCAGGGTGGTCTCACTCCAAGGTTGTCCTCCAGCTTCCACGTGCACACACATGTACCTGCAGGTGCCCACACACACACACATGTACCTGCAGGTGCCCACACACACCAAGAGAAACACTGGAGCTTGAGCAAAAGTCCAACAGCCCATCTTTGGATGCTACAAAGACATGTATTCCCTAAGTTCCCAGAGCTTTCCAACCATTTCCATGGTATGTGAATCATTACTTTGCCCTCAGGTACCACAATCCAGCACCTTGCACCTCGCACATCACTGCAGGGATTGAACCCCAGGTTCAGAAAGCCTTGGTACCAGCAAAATGGCTGCCTCAGTGTCAGGGTCCAGTGCCAGCCCAGACCATAAATTATTTCTCCAAACCATAAATTATTTCTCTGGACCAGAGAGGAGGTGTGGGATTAAAGACACAACTTACATGACTATATTGGGAGGGAGTTTCCAGTGATCCTTCATGAAGTCCTAAATTCACATCCTGAAAATCCACCCGCATTTATTCTCCAAACAGCTTTTATACCAAAACATAAACTAAGGGGGAAATTCATTAGCATTCTGTTTCCTAGGTAACTAGGCGAATATCTGAGGTCACATCTACACCCATCTATGCCCATTTTGTTACATCTCCCTACCTTCCTGCTCTGTATGCCAGCTCTGTCACGTAGGCCGAATTAACACCTCTATCCCAGGCGTCCTCCAGATTACAAAGAAGGAGCAGAACAGCATCGGCATATCCTGACCCTTTGTCTGTAAAGGCCTGCTGTGAGGCCGGGTGCAAACTATGGCTTGGAAGTCTAGCCGCCATACAATGTAGACACATGGGCCTGTATAATATATGGCCCTACTCCTCAGTCAAAGGGACAGGCCCTTCTTTACCGGAACTTGGGCAGCTGAGCCAAGACTTGGCATGGTGCCACCAGTCCCTGCCAACCGCTGGGATTGCATGACATAAGGTTCTGCTTCTCCAACCTTGGCTCTCTGCAAGCTGCAGAAAACTTTTCAACTTCCTTTTTTTGTTTTGTTTTGTTTTGTTTTGTTTTGTTTTGTTTTAAGCCTAAAGCCCTGAACTGACTGACCCATTGCTTCCCTTGCACAGTTGATATGTAGCCCCTCGGTGCCCAGCATCACCTTCCCCCTGGAAGTAGCGTTGCTTTGAAGAACCTGTGCCCTATGAATTGTCCTGGGGGCAAGCAAGCAGCAGCCTGAGCCCTGGACCTCAGGGGAGCTCCCAGTGCCTGCTCCACACTTGTGAGATGCTATCAAGATATGGAGATGTGTTCTTTTATTCTGTTCCTGCTAGGGACCCGTTCTGCAGCCCAGTGATAAGCTGCCTGACAGTCCTTCCCCAACTGCAGCTCCTCTGCTTCCTTTTTCTCTCCTCTCTCACTCACTGTCTCATCTCCTCATCCTCCCATTCCTCAGCTTGTCCCGACCTAGCCTGCGAAGTGAGACTGGCCAGTGTTCCATACTCTAGAATGCTGCTTTGCTTTGACTAAGCTAGTTCACTCACTAGTGTTGGGTGCCGATGCCTGGCCCCTGCTCACTGGAGCACCATCCTGGAGGCTGGAGATGCACAATGGAAGAGGCCCCAGTGCTGCCTTCTAAAGCCCAGAATGTGATGGAGCACTCAGCCAAAAGCATGGAATGGCAGTCCTGATGCTGATCCCTGCCATCAGAGTACCCAGTAGGACTAAGGGACACAGGCATCCTGCACACGTGAGTTTCCTAAGACTTAAAAGGCCAGTCTTAGAAGATTAGCGAGAACCTGGCAGGGAGGGAGAAAAATCCTTCTAAGCAGAGGAAACAGCATCCACTAAGACGCAAGGGTAGGGCAGCACATTTGTCCAGGAAGAAATGGATGGCAGATGGAGTGAAGACCCAGTAGAAAATTCTAGAAAAGATATATGGGGCATATCTCCCAGGCCTTGAGTGTCCTAGGCAAGCGATGATGGGAGAGCGTAGCCAGGCATTGGCAGTTCTGGACATCAGCTACCCCATGATTTTGTCCTTCATCCACATGTCTTACAGGACTGTGACATGAGCCTGGAGGGAACTGAGCTCAGCTTGCTGGGACTACTGAATAGTTCACCTTCCAGGCTGCCTGAGGATCCTTGCTAGCAAGACCTCAAGGGGACTGGACTGCTCTACTGAGCTCCAACGCTTACCCCCACAGAAAGCAAGCATATGTGTGTTCTGAGTACCCAGAGTTGGTCACTCAGAGGTCGGGTGCTGTCCCGGAAACCTAAGCCACAGCCTGGCCATCATGAAGAATGGCCCTCAGGTTATGGAAAAAAAATAACCTAACCTGGTCACGTCTTACTCTGTGGCTACGATGTACAGGGTGGGAGCTTTGCATGTTATAGAAAGTCACATGAAATGTCATCATCTTGTTATTGTGGTGGCGGCTGGGTATTCTGGGCTGGCTGCCAGGTGCTGCAGAGTCTTTCTAGAGTCAAGCTCCATGGTGAGCAGCATGCTTCCTTGGTGCCCAGGGTTGGGTAGATCACAGCTTGCGTTCTATCATGGGGTTGGACCCTGCTCACACTGATGGGCATACAGCCTCAGGCCACCAAGGTGGCCAAGGCCCATATCTTTGAACATGCTATCAGTAGAACTGGCTCTGCGCGCCCCTGCCATGTTCTGACTTCTCCTTTCACAGTCAAGAACCTGTTGTGGCCATGCCTGATGGTGCAGGCCTGTCACCCCAGCTGCTCTGGAAGCCGATGCAAGAAGATTGAATGTTCACGGACAGCCTGGGCAACTTAAGATGAATGAAATGTATGCCCTGGCATTGCTGAAGCATGCATGGGCAGCCCATGTATAGAGGTTCTGTTGAAATTATCCATATTGGGTTTCATGGTCTAAGTTGATGAGGACAACTGACCAGGTCTCTTCCTCAAGAGGGTACCTTAGTGAAACCCTTTCTCAAATTTTGAAAACGGTAAGCCAGGCGTGGTGGAGCACCCCGTTAATCCCAGCACTTGGGAGACAGACAGGCAGATCTCTGTGAGTTCAAGGCCAACCTGGTCTACAAAACAAGTTCCAGGATAGCCAAGGTCACACTGAGAAACCCTGTTTTGAAGAAAAAAAAATTAAGGACTAGGGATATCCCTCAGTGGTAGACCACTTGCCTAGCATGTAGGAGGCCCTGGATTCAATCCCCAATACCAGAAAACAAAACATAGGTGCTGTTATGTTCTTAGCACATCTCTTGCTGGGGCAAGAGCCACCAGCCACCCACTGATAGGCAGAGCAACCGAGGTGGGAAGTGGTGCAAGTTCCTCAGAAGGAGGCAACGGGTTAGTTTGACCTGTTCAACCTCCAGCATTCTGTTACCTCTGCGAGTACATTTTAGCTGCGTCACTGCCTTCATCTGTAAAGTGGGAACGAAGCCTATGCCTAGGGCTCATCAAGACAGTCCCCGTACAACTGCAGCCTTCATTCCTTGGTGACACCATTAGCACTCCTTCACATAGCATCTTACTGAGGAGCCGTGGGAGAGAAGCCGTGTCCACCATTCTCCCAAGAATCCTGCATAGCCTGGCTAATGTTCTTCCTTAAATGAACTTAAAATGAACACATTGAGCAGGACCTGGGTCCCATGCTTCTCTCCAAAAAGAGCCACTCTCATGAGTTCAGGGTAGCCTATTCTCCAGAAGTCAGAGCCCTGTATCTTTTGGGAGGCCCTGAGCATCCCTGAGTGTTTGCTGGTATATGATACCCAGAGGCCAAGATCTTTCAAGCCAGGCCTTGCCTTGGTGGCTTTAGTCACAACGAGGCTATGAAGACTGGTGGGTAGATAGCCAGCGGGGCAGGGCTTGCTCAAAGGTAGGAGCTGTGTCCTCACTTGCCCCATAGCCTAGCTCCTCATTGTCAAGACCCTCCCAAGTCACAGCAGCCTGTAGTGGACAGCTATAGGTCCAATTCTATCACCCATAATTTTCTGGTTCCCTTTTCCTGTGTGTGCCAGCTGCAGTGGCAATAATGAGTTCTAGCCCCTTCCCATCTACCATAGGGTTCCCTCCCAGCACCCTGTGATGTTACTGCTGAGACACCCATTGGAGAGTCAGCTAGACCAAGACCTAAGACACAATCTGCCCAGGGTACCCGGCGGGAGAGCTGCAGGCACAACTTTGTTCCCTCTGTCCCCACCATGCCGTCCTCCCACAAGCCCAAAGCTACAGTCAATCCCACCCGAATCATAGTTCTCCATGACAAACTCTCTCCTGGGCACAGAACTGAAGCTGGGCTTCTCATGTCCCCTCCCAGCTCCCCTCCACCCTCTGCTGGTGGGTACACAGGGGACTTCCCCTCCAGGCAGGAAGTGGTGGGAGAAGTTTCAGAGTCCAAGAAGGGAAAACAAACCTACATAAAAGCAAGGGCCCTTCCCCCGCGGCTAGGAGGGCTGACTGCCTCTGCTCTGCTTTCCCTCAGGCTTCTGGGACTCCTCGCTGAACCCTCCAAGAGGTCCTGTCGAGCCCCTCAGAGGCCCAGCCCCTGGGGCCCCTACAGCCTCCAGCCTCCGGCCCACAACCCATTACACAAACTGTTCCTGTGAAATCGAGCTGTCTGTGGGAAATGACCGCCTGTGGTTTGTGAATCCCATTTTCATCGAGGACTGCGCCCTCCCGACTGATCCACCACCTGTCAGCTGCCCTCCACGCCCTGTGCCCGCCACCTCGGATGCTACCTCACCCACCTCTAAGGGGTCCCCACGCCGTCCCCCACCTCCACCCCCGGTACCCACCCTTCCTCCAGCAGGCCCCTTCCGGCCTCCTGTGCCTCCTGTGCCCCCTGCACCTGCTGGTCCTTTGCCCAACTCCCCCCTAACGCCCACCTCTCATCTTGCACCCCATGCACCGGGCCCCCCAGGTCACCCAAACCAACCACCCATGACAGCCTGTGAGAGTCTCCCACGTCCAGCTGTAGGCCTGGGCCCCTTTGGGGAAGAAGAGATGAAGCCTGGAACAGCTCCCAGCCCCTTGCAGCCAGCTCCTCCCCCTCCACTGCCCCTAAAGAAGGCTCTTCCAGCAGCTCCTCCCAGACGGCGCATCTCTGAAAGGGTGTCTCTGGAAAGCCAGAATGTGGGAACTGCAACAGACAGGGACCACCCAAGTATTTCCAGGACAGCCTCTCTCAGCCTACCTTCCAAAGGCACTGTGAGCAGTCTTGGGGACAGGCCTTCAAGGACCACAGAGCAAGGCCAGGAAACAGAGACCAAAGCTAGCCCTACTGACAGTATACCAGTGCCTCCTGGGAAGGCCAAACAACCCCCTATTCCGCCACCCAGGAAGAAGCGGGTCTCTCGACAGTTGGCCTCCACCCTTCTCAGTCCCTTGGAGAGCCCTGAGCACCCCATTCGAGAGGCATCCTCTGAGAAACCAGCACCTGGTGCACCTTGGGAAGGCTTGAGTCCAGCCCCCCAAGCTGGGATGCAGCACCCCGCTACCCAGACCAGCACCTGTCCCCAGAGCTCTCCAGAGTTCAAGGGTTCGCTGGCCTCACTCTCAGACAGCCTGGGTGTGCCTGCCTCCGCCACCGACCAGGACTCCTACTCAACCAGCAGTGCGGAGGAGGAGCTGGAGTTCAGCAGCCCCAACGTGAAGAAGAAACCCTCGATGATCCTGGACAAGGCCCGCCACCGCCTCAGCTTCGTCAGCTTCGCCAGCGTCTTCCACGCCTTCCTCTCCAGCGACCGCAAGCTGTATAAGAAGGTGGTGGAGCTGGCGCAGGACAAGGGCTCCTACTTTGGCAGCCTCGTGCAGGACTACAAGGTGTACAGCCTGGAGATGATGGCCCGCCAGGCATCCAGCACCGAGATGCTGCAGGAGATCCGCACCATGATGACCCAGCTCAAAAGCTACCTGCTACAGAGCACCGAACTCAAAGCCCTGGTAGAGCCCAACCTGCACTCGGAGGAGGAACTCGGTCAGTGCCAGCTTGAGAGGGTGGGAAGGGGGGAGGTGCATCGGGACCCTCAGGCAGCCCTGGGCACAGAACAGCCTCTGGAGCTGCTTGCCTAATGGCCTCGTTTTTCTTCCTCTGCTACTGCCCCACAAATCTCCTGGGCCCAAATCCCTCCCTCAGGCTCCACTTCTAGGGAGCCAACTCCAGGCAGCAGCCCACTTTCCTGACCATTCCTATCAGGCAACCCACCAACAACAACCCTCCCCTCCTCCACCAGCCTCTAACCTAATAACCTTCAAACCTATCTGCAATTAGGATTCATGGTGACCAGTTTCCCTTTGGCACCTCCACAGCTGTGTATATACTGAAAAGACTCAGGCAGACCACACTGCAGTAGCTGGGTATGACAGCATCTACCTGTAGTCCCAGCACTAAAGTGGAGGCGGGAGGATTGCGGGATCAAAGCCATTCTCAGCTATATAGTGAGTTAGAGGTCAGCCTGGACTCTCAAAAAGCAAAACAAAACAAAACAAAAAAAAATGTATTGAGAGATTTGGGGATTACCTGATAACCATTACTGCCCCTGCAGGCACCGACCTCCTCCTTGTGGTCTTGCACCTTTCCTCCTTTACCCAGTAATTAAGAGCATCAGTTTTGGACGGGCAGTGGTGATGCACGCCTTTAATCCCAGCACTCAGGAGGCAGAGGCAGGCACATCTCTTGTGAGTTTGAGACCAGCCTGGTCTACAAGAGCTAGTTCCAGGACAAGCTCCAAAGCCACAGAGAAACCCTGTCTCAAAGATGCTTTGACACTGCAGGATGACGATTCATAGTGAGAGGTCCTAGGGAAAGAGACTGTTAAGCACCGCCTTCCCTGGAGGGAGGCTGGGCTTTGATCGCTGGCTCCTGAGGACTGATACAGTCACCAGGGCACAATATTAGGGCACAGGAGTAAGGTGGTGGGTGGTATGTTGAGGTCTAAGACTGGCATTGTGTCCTCAGGAGGCTGTAGCTATGTGTGCACCCCACTAAGATTAAAGGGCGCACCTGGGCAGGATGCTCAGGGTGGTACATCAGAAGGCCACCCACACAACCCCTGACTTTTTCCACTAACAGTTACTACGTCCCTGAGACCCAGGCATTACCCTCACAGAGCTCGTCTGGGGAGGAAGTGAGTTATATAAGTAGTTTGACAGAGCCCTATGCCTCCAGCTCCTCACCTGTTGTACTGGGAAATAATGGCAGCAGGCAGATCACAAAGTCCCTCCTAGACTCAGGGAGGTCTCATTATGACAAGTGTCAGGTAATCTGCAAGAAAGTCAGGAAGCCGTGGAGGAAGATGACCCAAGTGTCAAAAACAGGCAGGAAGTGAGGTTTAGAGGCTCTGGGAGAGGTAGGTCACAGCATCATGGCCTCCAAGGTTTAGCATTTCTGCAAGGGACCAGGCTGTGGCAGGTTCAAGACAGGAGTGCCAGGGCCTCACGTGTTCCCAGCATGGCTCTGGTCCTTGAGCTGAGGAGGAGCAGAGAGACTCGAGGAGAGCAGAAGTACTGTCATGACAAGATGTACTGGGAACAGGTAGGTGGGCAGGCACCCTGGGCACAGATCTGTCCTTGGAAGTGGGCAAAGATCTGACTGGCCTCATGTGGGCTCTGAATAGCTAAAAGCCAGTGTGAGCATTCCGGGAGACCACAGGCCCAAACCCTGAGAAACCAGGGATTCAGTGTCAGAGAGATGGCCTCCCACCTTGCTGAACATCCAGGAGGGGGCAAGTGGAGGCTGCTGAGGCTGAATCTACAGTCGGGAAGAATGGGGGCTGATGACAGATGTCTGGAACCCAGTAACACACAAACAGCTACACGACTATAAATTAAACCGTGCCCAGGAAGATCGCAGGTGGTGTGCAGAAGAGGAGACTGTGAAAGGGCACAGAAGGACTTGGAAGGACATGGACAACTCAAACAAAGCAGCCCAGAGGCAGCTGTGGTCAGCCATGCACGCCAGAACGGAGGAGAAGTGGGAGGGGTCATGCCGTAGAGAGGATGATGTG